TAACAGTAAAACAGATCTCAAGGACAAATACTGAAATTGTCTGCAATTTGTCAATCTGGCTTTTAGAAGGGAAGTCATAGGCGCGCACACACTGTGCTCTGTTCTTCTGATATTCCGGTTTCCCTATGAGTTAAGGAAAAAGTACCTGATTTACTTACCAGTTAATAAATCAAGATGTTCATTAACAGTTCTTACCTTATTAGATCCAAAGTATTTTTCAGCCGCTGCACTAGTCATTAGTTTTGTTAAATTTTTAATAAATTCCTCTTCCAAATAGAGAGGGTGATTTTTTTTTTTTACTGTACAAAAATTTATCCTTCTCAGGATTTCTAAAACAAATTTAGAGCAAATTTACTCATGCAGCAACTTCCACCTATTTCACAAAGTATTACTACATTACTGCAGGAACTCAAAATTTTGTTTAACATAGAAACATGTAAAGAATTCAGTAACAGCAACTTGGAAAAAAGGAAGGCTGCAAGAGATTTACAGCAAATTCCTTTTTAGATCTAGATATATTTCCAATTGGTAGAAATGTTAAGTAAGTCATGGTCGAGACATTAGTGAAGTTAGTAAGACATTCAACTGGCAAAAACAAGGTAGAAGAGAGAACAAGTAACTTGCACAAGATCCGACAGCAGACACAGAAAATGAACTCCTAATTGTCATGTTAGGGCTCTATTTCCAAGTAATGCACAATTCTCAGAGCTGACTTTTTACTTTCTTAGGCTCTGGGATTTCTGGAGGATGGTTAGTTAGGAAGGCTAATGGTAGAGAGAAGATTTAGGAGAAATCTTTGCAGTTATAAACCTGCCTATTTTCTCTGCAGAAAGACCTCACACCTGGTGAAAAAAAATCATGCAAATAGAGTGATATTTTAAGTATTTTAACATAGCAAAAATAATGGCACAAACTACAGAATCTTCTAACAATGACTGAATGTATGTAAAGTCAAAACCAACATCGTAAATCCATAGCAGGGTGTTTTTTTAATCTGTTTTTGAAACTGTTACACATACTTTTGTGGTTACATATATTTTTAAAATAGTCACAAACTTTGCAAGCCTATGAAGTAAACCTCCAGGACAGTATCATGGCTTAACAAGCTTTTCTTTTCTTCCATAAGGATTTATAATCTGACTTCAATAAATACAAATAAAATTTTATTTTTAATCCTGATTTTGGTTAATTACAGGTTTTTTATATTTTTATATCAGAACTATAAGATGCATAACAGTACTAGAGCATTGGATAATGAAGCCACTGCTCATAACCCTTTATGGACTGGCTTTGGCCAACCTTACGCCACCTAAAGTTCCCTTTTTTCAGATAAGCTTACTTATTTCTGCCCAGAATTACATCTTCAAACAGCCAACTCCCCTAAAATAGACTATAAAATACAACATCTGGAAATCTTATCAAAACATTTTTGGAAGTAGTACGACAGGAAAAAGACTGGTAACAGCAAAAGGACAAAGTCTGGAGTTTTACAACTGAAAGTAGAGTGTGGTATGAGGAAGATTTTATTGTAGCTGGGCTACATTTCTTTTTCTTAGTTTCACAAATGCCACATCCTGGCTAAACCACAACTACTCCTGTAGTCATGTTCCTACCCCTCATGATGCATTCTTGCACAGTAAAGAAGCTGTAGAAATTATGAGGATTACAACAGCATCACTCATACAGAATCACTCCTCTCCTGATGTCTACTTACTTACTAAACTACATGATACTTGTTTTTCACAGCAATAAAAGGTTGATCTAACCTGTTCCACCCCACTGTAAATTTTAATCTGTCACATTTTTAATCTCAGCATATTTCTGTGTTAGCCATTAATCTTTGTCCCATCCTCTCTATCAAAATGGTTAGATACCCCTTAGAGACCTACAAAACTCCTGACTACTTTATTCCAACCTGTTTCAGCTATCATTGCTTTATTGTGACTATCGCCAGTTCCAAACTACCATAATCTCATTTCTGCTACTTTATAAATGCAGCTAAATAAAGATATGAAAAGCTTTCATGATAAAAGAATCTTTCAAATCTACATAATTTCTTTCTATGGAAATACATTACACTGGAGTATGCAGATGAAGAAACTAGATCTATTTCACGTCAGAAGTTAGAGACTTTGCTCTGTCAAGTGTGAAACAGAGACAACAAAACTGAAATCAATCATCTATCTTAATATCAACCTTATTTCTGATTTTGTTTCTCTTAGAAAAGTTAAAATTGCATCAGAGTGAAAGAGAAGCTATTTACCCATAAACAAGATGCCTCCACATATTCTTATTTGTGGGTACTGTGGAATGATTCACTTTTCTGGTACTGATGACCTTTGGAGGCTGCCTGGAAAATCAGTGCCTGTTGGGACTACATGAGCATCCCCTGGTGACAGTGGATGAACACCAATATGATCCCAAATGGCCTCTCCTTTTTATTCATTTATGTCTAACCACATATGACATGCAGATCTCCATGAGAGAGAGGGAAGTAGTACCAGTGAGCTCTCTGGCATCAAAACCACATCCAAACTTTTATTTCTATTATCTTTGTGCTTGCATGCATAAGGAAACAGAATATAGGTTTTCACAAATATCATATCCTAGTAAGAGCTCTATGTCTGAAAGGAGCTTTACAAAGATGCCTACTAGTATGAAGATGAAATCAAGCATCTAACAAAATAGCAGCAGAACAAATATGCCAGAAACTGCCACATACCCCTTCTCAGTGAGGCCAGGTACCAAGGACAGGCATTGCAGTCACTACCTTACAGTGTTTCCACAACAGCAGCAGAACCTCAGAAAGTGATTGGAGCCAAACGTAAATGGTTAGGGGCAAAAGGCTTATGCTTCCCCCAGTATAATGGTTTTCAGTCTGGACAGTGGTATAACTGTCCCTCTGCACGAATGGAAGAACATGTTAAGGACAGAAAAAGTCCCTCATAGTGTCTCAAACACAACCTCTCAGACAGGGATCTGGTAAAATTTCACTAGGTCTGGCAGAACAGGATATTCAGGGAGGAATGTAAATTCCAGGAAGCAAAAGTAAAATACAGTGATTCAACTCTATCTCTTTTAGTCTCTCTTTCTCATCTTTTAGTCTCTCTTTCTCATCTTTTGGAGTTCTCTGGTTTATGAAACATATGTAGAAAGTTAAAGGCTTTTTCAGTCCAGAAGTCTAGTTATCCAATGGCACAGAAATTAAGTAAAGGTTCATTGTAAATCTACTCAAGCAATCTGAACAATAACATTGTTCACTACTGATAAATGTGACATGAAGAAGGATGGTAAAACTGAGCAAATCCAGTGTTCATGGAGGACAGTTCTTTGCATGCAGAATGATTCAAGAGCTAAAAAGCAATTGAGATAGTTGCAAACTATAGAGGTGATCTGTGAAAAAATCTGTCAGCAGGACTCAGGCTCAGATGTCTGTGTGGCACTGCATTTCTCAGAAGCCCCTATAGCTCACTCAGCAGCACAAAAGGACTTCATTTCACAAGTGGGGGATATGTGGATACCACTTCAGAGAGGAACAATGGGCTGTTTTCCCCACAACCACAAAAATAATTCATTTAAAAAGCACAAAAATTAGTTGAGGTACAACCCTGTCATTTATGAAAAATTGTAATGAAGTTCATGGCAAAACAGGTAACTCACAGAGGAAAATATTTTGCACAAGGGGGAAGATTCTGGCTGGCAGAACTGCTATTTTGCTGTTCTTAAAGTTGGTTATGCAAAGCCACGGGTAAGGCTTTTTTTCATTTCAACATTGAATGCTGCAAACAGCTAGAAATAAGGAAATATCAGAGGCTCCATGAGAAACAAAAAGTACAAAAGAAACTATGAAGAAAAAGACTAGTAAACATTGTGTGGGAGGAACAGCCTAATGATGAGAACACAGATCAGAGGGTAGGCAAAAGCAGATTAAAAGGAGACCAACTATAACGAAAATGTGAAAATTAAAGGCAGCTGAATTAAATACCAAATCACATGCTACATTGCACATGGAGATGAAAGATAAAACTTAGCAGGTGAAAAAAAAGAAAGGAAAAATAGAGAAGCCTAAAACAATATAAAAATTATGTAAGACCAACGGGTCGGTCGGTTACTGAAGAACTGAGAGCAACGATGAGCAGTGCACAGGGAAAAGGAGGGCAAACATTGGAAGATCAGCAAAGGAAGCAACAGCATGTCTTTTTCTCTGTTTCACTTTTACATACTGTGCTGTACATTTCACAGACTCTCCAAATAGTTGCAGCACCTCAGCCACAGGATCCATTAACCAACACTGTTCAAAATACATATGAGCTTAAACACATTTTCACATCACAAAGGTGAGGAAAAAGACAGTACTGGAATCTACGTTTATAAAGCATCAAGATAACATGAGGGAAAGTTAGGACAATTAATTTTACTGTTTTGACAGCCATAACTTTCTTTTCCGCATAAACATGTTCCGTGCTTCTGATAACCCAAAACACAGCAACGCTTACCAACACCCTTTAGTATATGGATATAGTCCCATAGAGCCATGTGTACTTTTCAGAAAAGAGGCTATTGGACCTATTTGAAGTCACATAGTATGGATTAAACACACATACAGCAGTCTGTCATGGTAAAACAAAAACTCAGTAAAGTAGTGTTGACTCAACCATAGTATGGAGATGTTTTGGTTTTCACTTGAAACCATTGTACTCAAAATCCTGGTGGCATGATCGCAGCATACACAATATCAAGTACCTCACTTGTCACACATCATTTCAAACAATAGATAAGGCAGTCACCAGATGGAAAAATTATTATGAAGTTGTTTATATCGTATCCTGTTGACTGTTGGTTTTAACTACATTTACAAAACCAGAAAATACACGTAGTAGACAGAAAAATAATGATTCTTCTAAAACCCCATCATTTTATTGCAGTAATGGAAAGGCAGATGCAGAGATTTATTGTATATTTAAATATACTTTGAGGTAAAATGGTCCTGTGTTACTCACCTTGATCTCTTTCATGCCATGTCCGACTCCCCGCAGCTGGTGAATTTGGAGAAGGATAAAAGTCTCCGGTCGGGCTTGGCTCCATATTTTCATCTATGGAGATAGTTTTGGGTCTTTTGCTGTTGAAGTAATGTAAGATTTGGCAGTGAATATGATATGCAGCTAGTAGAGGTACATAAACTGTTTGGATTTCAACAAGTATTTCAATAGAAAGTAATTCATGCACATAAAACACAAAAAAGTGGATTTTAGAGCTCACATTGATTTACATAGACAATGTTATTTAATAATATGTAATGCAGATATGTGCTTGCATTTTTCACATGATTTAATACTTCAGAGATCGTATGAACGGGTAATGAAGTCTACCAGCATTTGGCTGAACAACCAAGAAACCAGTTCCTGCAACCCACCAAAGAAAGATTGTGTCATCAGAGTGTTAAACACTGCAGAAGCTATGAAAGCAAAACAAAGCACTAGAAAATTATTACTAACAAAGTCAAGGTAAACCAGGAACTTTTCTGAATGTCCTAATAAGGAAAAGGTGTAGATTACTGTATTTCACCGGGTCAAAATCCTAAGCTTTTCAAAGAGGTTTAACCTGAAACAAAGACTTTTCATTTTAGACTACTTTAATTAAAAACAACAAAGGCCCATATTTCAAGTCACACTATATAAAATGAGGCAACACTTCAATACAGTGGAGGGAAGTCAAGTTTCTTCATAACAATATATACTGAAGCTGTTATGCTGACTGCCAGATAAAACCAGGATGAAGGTTTTAATGTTGTTGTTGGTATT